TTCAGATTGCTTATCCTATATAATAAAAGCCTAATATGCAAATCGACCAAACAGCAGAACAACCATGGAACGACCGGTCACTATGATGCACACTGACCACCAGGGGGCAGACGCTCGTCGCAGGAGCTGCCCCTAGCCTGCAGGCCCCAGTTCAGCCAAGGCAGGTGCCAGCAGGGGCCCCCAGATCCCCCCACCTGTTGCCCCGCAGAGAGAGGTGATTGGCAGCAGCAGGGGGTGGGGCCAGCCAAGGCCGATGCCAGCAGGTCCCCCCCAGCCCCCCGGCCCCGATTGCCCCACCAATCGGCCCTCATCCCCAGCCAGGCCTAGGGTCCCTATCCGTGCACAAATTTTGTGAACCGGCCTCTAGTTTATAATAAATGCTTTAGTTTGAAAAGTTGAATATAATTCATTCATCTATCAGCACACATTTGATGAATGCATACTATGGGTCATGTACCATTTTAGAGATCTTATCTAATAACTAAAGGCCCGGTGCACGAAATTCGTGCATGGGAGAGTGGGGTCCCCTCAGCCCAGCCTGCACCCTCTCCAATCCGGGACCCCTTGGATATCCCTCTCACAATCCTGGACCACTGGCTCCTAACCACTCACCTGCCAGCTGGCCTGATGGCCCCTCACTGCCCCCCCCTCTGCTGGCCTGATCGTCCCTCACTGCCCTCCCTGCTGGCCTGATCGCCCCTCACTGCCTCCCCCTCCCCCCGCCTGCTGATTGCCCCTCACTGCCCTCCCTGCCGGCCTGATCACCCCTCACTGCCCCCCCTGCCGGCCTGATCGCCCCTCACTGCCCTCCCCCGCCCACCCGCTGGCCTGGTCGTCCCACGCAGCCTGCTGTTCGGTTGTCCTTGTTGTTTTGGTCATGACGGCCGCTGGCTTTTTATATATTAGGATTGATTCCTTTCTTTGTTATTTGGCTAATATTTTAACTCATGTAATTGGGATGAAACCTGAAGGTCTAGTTCAGTGGTCGCCAAACTGCGGCTCGGCAAACCGCAGCTCGTGAGCCACATGCAGCTCTTTGGCCCCTTGACTGTGGCTCTTCCACAAAATACCGGCTCTTCCACAAAATACGGACTTCTGCTCATGGGCCACGAAGTTTCAATTGCACTGTACGTGTACGCCCGCAAGTGGTATTTTGTGGAAGAGCCACAGTCAAGGGGCCAAAGAGCCGCATGTGGCTTGCGAGCCGCGGTTTGCCGACCACGGGTCTAGTTAGTGTCTCCCTGATAAAGGAGAAGTATTAACACAGATTTTATAATTCACTGAACCTTTGAGGCCCTTACTAAGGAACAATGAATTGTATTAGAATTTATTTAAAAATTTTGTCTGCAAAAACAAATGAAATGAAAAGTATAAATTGGTTTTGTAGAACAATTTATATGTACTTCACTTTAGACAAACAAATATTTGGAGGAGAGGGAAATGAAGTTTATATACACGCATGTATATATATTCACACATAGGCTTCTCCGTAAGGATTAACTTACATCATGCAAGATCTCTGCTGGAGGGTTGTGTCTATTCACTTACCTGTGTGATACAGAAATGTGCACCTGATCACCTATCAAATCTCATCGTCCACCCTAGAGGAAATAGCATGGGAACAAAAATAAAAGAAATGCATTCTAGGAGCACTCTAGATATGTCCTTCTATAAATGTATCACTCTGGGCCTCAAGTTCAACTATAAAGTGAAAGAGTGGTCTAGATCATCCCTTATATCATGAAATTTTAGTGATTATATCTATACATCTGCACTAGGGGCCGCATGAAAAACCCTGACAGTAGATTCCATAGCTCTTCATGACTTGGCGGATTAAAACTATACTCCAGACATGCTTGTGTTTTAGTATCCTATTATGGGACCATCTGCGACTGAAACATTCAGTGTCTTCCATCCATTACTGTTTTCAATGTTTGAATCAAGAGTTGATGTTGAGTAAATTACATCATGGGAGTTGATGTGTTCATTCTGTAATGGGTTGCTTTTTTTATGAAAGTCCACAGTGTCTTTTGGTGATTTAAAATAAAGATATATTCTTAGAAAATTTTTCTTTAAAAATAAATGCTAAATGGTGCTCTGTTGCTATGCTCTCCTTTTACTCTCATGATAAATGTTGCCAAGATTCTCCTCACTTCCATTAGGAATTATTACTGCTTTCACCCAGATTGACTTTGGCAAGTTACGTTTAGACTTATTTCAGTCAGATCCTTTGACCAGTACAACTTTTGGCTTCTAGATAATTGTTTACTTCCATCTATCTCAGTAAGGACACTGAATCCTGAGAATGAGGGTGGGAGCTGGGGAATACATATGTAGAAGCTGGTCAGGTAGCCATCTATAATTCAGTTTCAACCTTTTAAGGATGTGCATAACTAAACTATCTCAGCTCTACTTTCAAATTCACTATAAATAAGAAACCAGTTTTAACAGGGTTGACTACTTCTGGAATGCAAACTGGGTAAACTTCTAAAGAAATGGCTCCTTAAAATATAGAGTATCAAGTGCAAAAAAATTCAGCATCTCCTGTGCAAATCTCTTACTTCCCTTTAAGATATCCAACACTGGATTCAACCAAGATTTTAATTGGCTGGACTTTTGACAAGTTGAAAACTGAAGAAAACTTTTAAGCTTCTGAGATGCTGTGCCTGCGGTAAAACTGGTTGTTATGATCCATATCCCCTGGTTCATTGCGCTGTACCCATAAATACACCGTTTCAAAGTTTTTGGATAATAAAAGAAAATGTATTTTTAATTGGCTTTATTAAGAATTAAGATTTTAACATATAGAAAATTTGTTTTAGTAGGTGCTATATATATATATATATGTAAAGCACATTGCCTGGTTATTAAATCAACAGTGTGAGAAAAACACTCAAATATTCAGGTGGGAACGGTGGGGGAAATGGAGACTTTTGTACTGTGATGCTTACCTTTTGTGGTTTGTGATTATACTCAAAAATATTGTGCTAAGTGAAATAGCCAATCTGAAAAGACAGATATCACATGATCTCATTTATTTGTGGGATCTAATGAACAAAATGAATTGACCAACAAAATAAGACCGGAAGCATGGAGGCATGGAACAGACTGACATACCTCGATGTAGGGTTGGCAGGATGAGAAGAAATAAACCAAAGAACTTATATACTTATTGGAGGTCCGATGCATGAAATTCATGCAAGAGTAAGCCTCCCTTCCCCCAGCTGCCAGGACTGGCTTCCCTCTGGCACCCAGGTCCCGGGCTTCGCTCACCACCCCGGCTTTGTCCAGAAGGACGTCCGGAAGGACATCTGGTCTAATTAGCATATTATGCTTTTATTATTATAGATATGCATAGCCCATGGACACAGGCAATAGAGTAGAGAAGATCTTGGAGAAGGAGAGTAAAGGGGGTGGGAGGAATGGGAGATACCTGTAATACCGTCAACAATAAAAAAAATACATTTTTTAAACATTGCATTTGCAAAGTAAACAGTCAGAGACCTGGGATACTGCTTCATAAGCAAAAGGAATGCTGCTGATTGTATTGGTGTCTGAAAGTTGGTAGTTTATGGTTGGGAGAATATAAAGAATTGTGTGACAAATGGAATACAAACATGAAGCAGTGTGACTTCATTTTTTAAGTTAATTGCAGCTTACAGCAGTGTTCATCGTTCCTTTTTGTCATTCCTTATAAAGACCTTGTTAGTTTTATGAAGAAATCATGAATCATTTCAACCAGAAGTACGTTCCAGAGAGAAATCGAGTTCCTCAATTTTAAAACACAAAACCACTTAGTTGGGAGAATTAATGTTTTCATATGACAAAGCCTTGTTGCTGAATTAAATCCTTGTTACATTTAGTAGTTTGCCAAGCACAATATCGTTCTTTTTAATCCATTAATGATTTCCTATTATAACTACAACAAACCATCCATATGGTGTGTCCAGAAGTAACATTTGGGTCATCTAGCTTGCCTAGATTTACTCGCTAAGTATTTTATATTATGTTTACTCAGGCCATATACATGCTAATCTTTACTCAGACACCTCTTCTACTTTATACAAATGTCTGCATGCAAACTAAGAAGAAATCGTCCTTTCTGTTTTAACCCTAATATTTGCCATCCTAGATCATTACTCCTCTATTCCAAGCCAGATTAACTTCTGTTCTAGATTTAACAAAATCATTTTACTCAGAATCTGATGAATCCGTCACCTCTTAAGATCTGGTCATCTCTTCAGCTTCTTGCCTAACTCTCACAGATACACTGAGCTTCTGTCTTTTCAGTTGCTTTTTTTATGGTTCTTCAGATTATTTCCATCTCTTTCTAAAAGAAGGCCAATCAGCTCATTGCTGTATACCTGTTCTTTTGCCAAACCATCATGCCTTTCCTGTTCTCAACCTCCCTTCTCTGGTCTCACTCTGAATGCCCCTGTTCCCTCCTTTTGGCGCTGGCTGCCACTTCACACGCTGAGGAACCCACTAATTCTGTGTGTCTTTATTTCCCTGCAGTACTAATGATCTGTCATCTGCTTATCGGAAATATAACATTTCTTCTCATTTCCTTTGTCCTTCTACCTGATTATTCTTAGTGCCCATCGAGCCATTTTATTCTCTCTTTGTCTTCCTGTTACTGATATTCACTGATACTTATTTATCAATGAATGAAGCTGACAGGCAAATAATTTGCATACTCTATTTGCATACTTCTTACTATTTGATGCCTTCATGTGCACTCTAGTTCAATCCTGACAATCCTAAGAGGTGGGTGAGAAATACATCCCTCTTTTAGAGGAGAGGAAACCCATGCCCAGAGCATTTTAAATAATTGGCCCCACAGCTATCTATGCCGAGGTTAGGACCGAGGTCTACCGATTCTTTGTGCTGTACCATGCCATATCTCCTCTCTCTGGCAGAAGGACTGCAATCCACTAAAAGTCTTCACTGCATTAGAAACTGGATGGAAATTAACCAAACCCTTCATTGTACCTTTGCAGATGAGAGTCCCTACACTAAATCCGCCAGCCAGACAAAGCCGCCTGATGGAGCATTGGCTGTGAGGAGACAGAGCATCCCAGGTTAGACCAGATTGTTGGATTTTTCAGCTGTTTGACATTTGAACCCTGCTATTTGGTGATGCCAAATAATCCCACCGTCGTAATAAACATGATGCTGTTCCATAGGGCATAGACTGCATTCTATACAACTTGTTCACAACAATATTCATGAAAGCTAGACTCTGGAAAAGCTTGCAAACTTGTGAGAATTCACTTTGTGTGCAAATTCTCTGTGAAATGACCTGAAGTTATATCAGTTCATGTTCATTTTCCTGCTCTCACCTCTGTTTTCAGGGGATGACTTTCACAGAAGCATCTATTTCTTTACTGAGATATAACCAGCAGAACAAAGAGGCTCAAAATCGCTGTAGCTGATTGTGTATGTGCTGAATAAAAATCATTCCTTTCTTCTTAGCTCTTTGAACCTGAACTTACTTCCACTGGACAACTCCTGGAAAATTCTGGAATTTTCTTTCCTTAGGAAGCTGTGATGAGGATTCTTATAACATTTAAGTGACACCTGTTTTTTCAACAAAAACATTTTGAGCTATCTTTAAATGTCTTTACCCCCGAACTTCAATATTTTAAAGCTTTGACTTTGACAATAACATATCTTCTTAAAGTTAAAGGTGGAAGGGTATTCAAAATATTATTAAAACTTCATCTGAACTAGGTAATTTATGGAAAACCTCTATGGAGGCAACTGTACTTAAGGGAAGGGTTAAAAGCACTAATGCATTAGACATTTATGAAAAATAATGTCTTTATATATTTAATACAAGGAAATTGAGTACAGCTAAACCTTCGCTACAGGATTTTATGTAGTAGATTTAGCAATTCAGGAGAAACAAGGCAGTGTCCTCAACAGTGAATTGAATGGTTTTGCCTCTCAGTGAAAAGGGGAATCTTTCATTTGAATAAAGAGTAAGATGAGTTCCGTTCTGAGCAGCCCTGTTCGTGATTATTATTTATTTGTATAAGAACTACATGTAGTCATGTTTGTTCTCATTCTGAAGGCTTAGGTTCATTATGAAAGTACATGGCTTATAAAAAAGGGGCATGTTGTGAATATGTTATGCACCCTTGTCTGTATGCTTTAAAGTTGCTAAAGTAATTTGAATTCAGTAATTAGATGGCATCCCGCAGTCCTAAGACTTCTTTGGTTCCATCCTAGAAAACATCCGTCTTAGTGCTGGTCACATTTAGAAAAACTATTGTAGCTAGCTGAGGGCTGTGCTCTCTGTTTTCTCCTTGTCAGCATCAAGGAAGTACAAGGTTTGCAGTTCAAGAATGCTAGCTACCCATCAATTCCTTCTTGTCTTCTCTACAGTAGCTGGCACTCCGTACTCCTCTGTGGGGAAGAGTGGAGAGAATTACCACTGTCCTTACCACATTGTATGACACAAAACAAAAGCACCGACTGTCATCATGTTTTCCTTTCATGGGTTCTCTAATGGTGTGTACTAAATTATAACACATGTCTGAGGGCCAGGCTTTGCCTTAAAGTCACTGACTAATTTTAAAAATTACATGTTATGGTTGGGAGAATATACAGAAGTCGTTCATCATAATTCTTGGTTCATGACACTTTAGTGATTCTTCACTGTGTAATTTTTCCTTTTGTTCCTCCTTATAACAGTTTAAAAGTCACTGCAATCATGGGCCTGTTTTGTAGGCTTCATGGGTTGTTTTCCTGGGGTTTTAAATAGGCACAAACACCTTTTGCCCACCTCTCAGAAGATAGTGGTCAAAGGGCCAAAGGTCTTCAAAATCTTAGTTGTTTAGAAGAGTCCAAGAAAAAAGCCCCACCAGCCACAGGGCTAAGGAAACAAAGTGGTTAGGAGCTGATTATTACTCTTTTTGTCTGGCCTATGTAATCTTTTTAAAAATTTTGAATGAATAGCCAATATTTAAAATTTGGGAGATATTATATTAAAAAATAGAGATTTCTGGCTTTTCTTTTTTCAAAAAAGAAAAGAAATGTATCAAGCCTAGGGAATCTGGGCCCAGATTTATCACATTTTTACTAGATCTTCTCTATGTATTTTTTTCTTTTTTATTGAATTTATTGGGGTGACATTGGTTAACACAATTTTATCGGTTTCAGTTGTACAATTCTATGATACATCATCTGTATATCATATTGTGTGTTCATCACCCAAAGTCAAGTCTCCTTTCATCACCATTTATTGCCACTTTACCCTTTTCTACCCACCTCCATTCCCCTTTCCCTCTGGTGCTATTACTATTACTATATTACTCTTCTCTTGAGAAAATCAAGGAACTTCTTGGATGCTTCCTAACCGACTTCTGACACATGGAATTCCGAAACCTTACTGTCATTTTAAAATTATCTATTCTTGCCTTGGCTGGTGTGGCTCAGTTAGTGTGGCTCAGAAGTTGCTGGTTCAATTCCATGTCAGGGCACGTGCCAGGTTGCAGGCTCAGTCCCCAAGAGGCAGCTAATTGATGTTTCACTTTCTCTTAAAAAAATAAAATAAAATAAAATCAATAAAAAACTATTCTTTTTCTGACAAAAGGAAGTCTTCCCTGACCTTTGGCCAAAAAGTCACTTAAAACAAAGAGATCTTAACCCATCACCTACCATGTCCACCTTTACCCTTAGTAAGTCCACAAGAGAGAAATGGAAAGGCCAGGGAAAGCACACTCTTTATTACTTGCTGGAGCTTCAGCTGAAAAATCCCAGAGTGTTCTGATGAAGTAAGTTGGACCACATGGGGCTATAAGAGCAAAATGCACATTTACAGCCTTTGATTCTCTCTCCTGTGCTCATGTCCCATCTTACTTCCCTCAAAGATAGTATTACTACCCTGGGAGCAAGGAAAAATGTGTCTAGAGAAAAGTGCACCGATGAAGTGAAAGAAGGCAGAAAGGAGAGCTCAGCTCACCTATCAGCCCCCAAATCTCCCCAGTGCAGAGGCACCTCAGCACAGAGGCCCTTACCCCCCGCCGCCCTTACCCTTCCCTGTGACTGGGGATAAGCAAACACAAGGAGCTGAAACCTCAAAGGATCTATGGCTTTTCCTCACATCTCCCCACAGCTCCACTCCCAGGGATCCAAGGATGGTGATTGGATTTGACTACTTACCACTTTTTCTGGTGGAAGGGGGTGGGGAAATGGAGGGTAGTGGAAGGATTTTAAGCTTCTCTGTCCAAGTTTTATGAAAGCTTAGGCTGTTCTTTGAAACTTATGTAGACCTACAAATGTAGACCTGCTACTCCTGGAGTAAATATTTATTCACATGTGAATACATAAGATTTCTTAACATGGGCTCCACATTTTCCATAACATAATAAACAGTACCGTTTCATAATTCTGTCCCAAAAAGGTAACCTTGAATACTAACAGAAATATAATTTGCTTTTCATTCATATCAAAATTCACTGCCTTTGTTTAAACTCAAACTTACTACAACAATTATTTTATAATCACAAGTCAAATATGTGCCTACATTGAATGATAATTCTAAGTATAAATCCCTCATCACCCTCCTTTGCTCTTCTCAAAAAAGAAAATGGATTAAACATCCCTTAGGAGCAAAGTACATTTGCTTTGGATAAAGGAGAAATGCATTATTCATGTTATTTGGAAACTCGTCATTTTAATCATGCCTCTTATGGCATAAAGTGTGTAAGAAAAAATATTTTTACTCTTTCCTAAGTTGTTGTAAAATTTTTAATAATGAGGGTATTTTAAAAAATGTTGAGTGTCCCTAAAAAAAAGTTTAAATTTAGATAAAAGACAACATTCTGGTAAAAAAAAAAAATAATTAAGGATGACTATTTTCAATCTCATTTCTGCCCCCCCCCTTTTTTTTTTTCCAAAGAGAAGATGAATTTCAAGTACAGAGATTTTTTTAACTAACAGATTCTACCACACATCTATCTTTATTAAAAATAATGTATTGATTTTATTCTTTTATATTTGACATATTACTGGTGTACTGAAGTTTGACCACTTGAGTGGTTTGTCCAAATTATTAGAGGAAATTTGTACAGATTCTTGACAGATTTTGCAAGTATTTTTGGCTTTACCCACTTAGAGCTGAGGCATTTAATCATGACTGTCTAGTGCCAGTGAAGGGAAAACAGGATACTACATAGACCTGGAGTTTATGTATTATTTATTTGATTTGCTTCACCTTTCCAGGTAGGACAGCTTTCTTTCTTATGCTGGTCTTCCAAAGAATTCTGGGCAATTCACAAGGGCAGGATAGTGTCAAACACTCACCTCTATTGCATTTTCCTTTTTTGTTCTAATCCTCCCCCGAGGGCATGCTTACAGAGAGGAAGGGGGCCAGAGAGAAACGTTCATTATTGTAGCAGGTATATATGCAGGTATATAGTGTGACATTTGCCCTAGGATTTGGAGTTATAGCACTCTTCAGGTGTATGAAGGACAGTTACTCTAGTTTTCTGGCCTGGTTCTGCTTCTTCTGTTTAGTTTCACCATGGAGCTCCTCCAAAAAAATGGGCGAGTGTCACGAATAGGAAACCAAAATCAGTTGAATGAAGCAAGTGTGAAATGTCATGCAAATAATAGTGCTGCACAATGCAGATGTACATCAAGTCATCACACTGTGCGCGCTAAATATTCAAGTACACCTAGTAAAGCTAGAATAAAATAAGAGGTGACGGGCCATTGCACTTGCAATGTGCTCTCAGGTGATTTAGAAAAAAACTAAGTGTCTCTCTGTGTGTGTGTGAAGGAGTGCTTTATAGTGTTCCTGCTACTCATACATTTTTACAATTATTTCAAAATAAATTTAAAAAAAAACATGGAGCTGCAGATGCTGCCCAAAGTTGTCAAGTGAGGGAATGACCCATGTGGGAACATGCCATGGGACAAGGACCTTTGCTACTCAGTCAGGCTGTCCCTGCATCCTCAAAAGCACCCAGTGGGCCAAGGTGAGGACATCAGGGACCTAAGGCTCAGGGTGTGCCCCACCAGAGCCCTCAGAGTCAGCATTAAAAGCCCAAAACAGTGATGTTTACATATG